CGTGCAGGAGGTCCAGGGGTGTCCGGATGTTGGCCGGGAGTAGTAAGGGCGTCTGGACGCCAGGCAGGAGTAGTAGGGGCGTCGGGAGGCTAGGGGGCAAAGGGCATAGATTGTGAGGACCCCCGGAACTAAGCTAGTAAGGTGTCCCAATGCCGGGGGGTTGGAGTGCCGCGTGTCCGGTGAGCGTCAGGATGCAGGAGGGTGCAGATGCCAACCTCAGGACACAAGAACCAATTTAGCCGACATGCTAATTAATAGTTTGCGTCCTGTGCGTCCGGAGCATCTGACACACAGGACGCACAGGACATGAGAGTAAATTTTTACTCATGTAGGAGATGGCCGAAAGGCGAGGTTCAAGGAGGGTTACCAACATCAAGCCGGCCAAGATAATAGTTTGGTCTCCAACCAAAGGTCTAGGCAAAAGGGCCTTGTTATCCAAGAGTTCTCCATCTAATTGGTATGTGGCCGAGGAGCAAGCTTCAAGGAGGATTACGGACATCAAGTTGGTGTCCACCCACAAGGAGCACAACTAACTAAGGCCCAACTAAGGAGCATCCATCGCGAGCCAAGGTACTCGTTGGGTGTCCCACCGGAGGTCTAGATCAAGTTGCCGACATCAGGCCGGCCAAGGTAATTATCCAGTATCCTATCAGGGGTGTGAGCATGGTCTCAAATAGTGTTGTTGGTAAACCAAGAAGGTCCTAATGTTCGTTGCCAAATGCAACATTGCTAAGTGATTCATAAAAATCAGAGTTCCTTAGGTTCTAGAGTCTACCAGATTCAGGAGGGAAACTACCATCAAGATAGCTAACCAAGTACAGGATGACGCAAGAGAAGGCCACAGCCGTAAAGATTTGGGCAGGAGAACTATCGTCAAGATGATTAACTGAGGACCAGTGGACACAAGGGAAGGCCACTGGCGCGAAAGGTTCAGGCAGGAGAACTATCGTCAAGTTAGTTAACCGAGGATGGGCAGACACAAGGGAAGGCCATGGGGGCAAAGGGTTCAGGCTGGAGAACTATCGTCAAGATAGTTAACCAAGGACGGGCGGACACGAGGAAAGGATAAGGGTGCAAAGGGTTCAGGCAGGAGAACTATCGTCAAGATAGTTCACCCACGATGGGCGGACACGAGGGGTGGCCGAAGATATATTAATCAAAGAGTACCAACCATATAGCAGGTTCAGACTTGGGGGTCAGGCGATAACTAGCAAAGCAAAGACAAGAAATTAAGTAAAGAGCAACGAGGTATCAAGTTCGTTCTCCTCAGGTTCCAAAATCCCGAGTTGTAACAATCTGAAGGTTACTTCACGATAAACATGAGAACAAGGAGTGGATGTAATTCCTAAGTATATACAAAGGTAGGAGATTACCAGATTGCATAAAGAAAGTAAAATATCCAGGGGCATACCCCGTAGATATACTCATGGAAATCCCTCAGTCTAGCGGCACTCCTCCAAGCGCAAAACATAACCACACCATAGGAACTTGCGATCTATAACGTACGTCCTGCATGTACATTCCAAAATAATAAGGAGATTTCTCCACTTTATCTGACTGTGCGCAGTTCTTATCTCTTGCTATGTGGAGTCGCCACGTACGAATGCAACTTGCGGTGTATGGCCAACCCAGTCCATCTTGTGACACCTATTCCTCCCAGAACGCGGATGCTGTGAACTGCAGAGAGCTGCTTCAGGTACGAAACACGCAACTAGAGTGTAGCAAATTTGGTGGCTGTGACACAGGGCCCCAGTGCTATCGGTGGATCCCGGCTGGAATTAGGCTGCTGTTGGGCAGTACTTGATCATAAGCCAGATTTGGCGCAACAAGTATAAATACACATCAATTGAATTTGGTCACAGGTATCTAGGAATTACACCTCTCTCCTACTTCATATCCTCTTGAACCTGTGAACCCTGACCCTTAACTCCTGACTCCTGAACCTCATACAACTTGACTCAGTTGTAATCCTGTACCCAGACCTCACCTCTACCCTCTAGCCTGTTCCACTCATGTGTGCCTTGGGCTACACGACCCTTACACCCTGCACGTTACAGGGGTCCACGTGCCTACTTAAGTCAGGCATTGGACTTCAGGATAGTGGGAAGGTCATTTGGCTCCTTGTATTTGTTTTCAAGTTGCTATATGTAATTTTTGATTGATTTGAGTAATAATGGTAGGGTGTAGAGGCATCGCGGGCACTTTAGACTCAAGCCTCTTGGCGGCTCGAGCCAGCTGGTGAACAATACTATTCAATCCACTCATTTTCTGAATTCTCAGTTCTTGTAAGTTCAGTCCCTTAACAAATTAAGTGACAACTAGATACTAGTTCTTAACAGACATTCCATAAGCCATTTTCTGTGCCCTTTGGATATAGTTTATCAGGGATTGGCCTCGTCACTGCCATAGACCTAAAAATGATTTCTCAACAAATCATTTTTCATGCTATAGCTCAATAGAACTCTCAAACCGTATTTTTAGTTCTCGGTACAGACTATTATAATTCTCAGTAACTTTCTTCAGACAATGACTAATAAACTTTCCCCCCTTACTTCTTGGTCGTATCTATTGTAAGACACAATAACCTTTTGTCTTACTAGCTTCTGCTCCCTCCTTTGGGCCTGTAGTTCTTTTTGCTTCTCCAAACAGAATATGAAATCTATTTGGAAAATTGTCAATGCTCTCTCCTAGTGTCCCAGAGAACTCCATTAGTTTAATGTCACTCATAATGAAATAAGGCTCCTCAATATGATTACACATAGCAGATAGCACCTCTATTGTTATTGATTCAGCCTGATATTGTAGACTTTTGATATCTTTTCAACGCCTTTACTGGTTCTAATTCTTGCTTCAACAGGAGCAAGGACAGCAGATAGGACATTGGCAAATTGGACAATGAGGATTCCTCTGACTCTACTAGAGGGCTTCAATATTCACTACAATGTGACTGTGCAAATGAGTATGAATTATTAGGTAAGGTTAGACTAGAAGGTATTGGGGATAAAGGAGGAGCTGAGGATAGTGTAGTAGTCAAAGTTCTAAATGCCCAATCACCAAGCTCACCCAGCGGTACTGATGTGGAACCACAACCCACAAAGCCTTCTGTAGTCCAAAATGATAAATGAGTACGGCCAGAGAGACTCTCCGGAGAGTATAATGACTGCCAAAACCAATTCCTAAATTCATTACACCAACTCTTCCTACTCCCTCTACCTGAATTGGAAGCTATAATAGCCTAGCTCTCTTCCTCCTACTTCTGAAATCAATGAGCAAGCCTCTCTTATACTGTCTTTTATGGGGAAGCGGCTAATGATAGAGATGTGGCTCACCCATAGCAACCAGTAAAAAACTAAATATATCTTTGACTATCTCTATGAATAATTGTGAGAGTACATTGAGACTTTAGTGGTAAGTACTTTGGAATATGGAGAATTGAAATATGTAAATTTTATTTCATAATTATGAACTATTCCACTTATACAGAGTTTTTTAAAAAAATTCCTAGAACAAAACTACTAGGAGTTCCCAGGATATCAAATTGGAAAAATGTATTAGAGGTTCCTTCATAAGTAGACTAAGGGATTGAATAAGCTCTATAATTTTATTGTTAATAGTTTTCTGGTTTGTTTGTTAACAATTTATAATATTCTAGTACATGGTAGGAACTAATCAAAAGTAAGCAAACTATGTACAATTTTAGCTTATTTAAAAATAGGATAACTTACTGCTGTAATAACCTACAAGTGTAAATTTTTGCATCCTTGCTTACAGCTGTTACTTGGATGTGTATGCTGAATTTAGAGTGCAGAAAACTAGTTTTGCATATTCTGTACTTTTATTATTAAAACAAGATATAAATTATATATAAGTACTTATAGCTTATAAGATTATAAAAATAAACAATCGAAACTATCTAAAAACCTTATTAATTATTTTTCCTAGTATCTACTAAGTATATTACATAATTGATATATATATTTACTCCAAATAACTTAATAATAATTATTATTATAAGAGTTATTAATTATAGTTGATATATTTTAATTATTCTATAATCCAACATGAAAGTAGCAATTAAACCAACTCTGGAGACTATATTCTAGCATTCTGGTCAGAGTAATCTTATTAGGAGGACTTAAGGTATCTTAGATTATAAGTATGAATTATTTTAAGGTACAATAGTATAAAGACAGAAAGTTATTAATTATCCTCTTTACTACTAAGAATAACATGATGATAGCATATAGAAAAATTCTCTGTAAAATTTTAAAATCTATATAATTGCATGGATAATTATTATAAAGTAAATTGTAAAAGGTTATAGTTATAGGTTATCATAGTAGCCAGTTATCCTATTGTCAAAATTAATATGCTAAATTTGTATGTAGTTTGCATGCTTTCTATAGGTTCTTACAAGGTACTATAATATGACAAATTGACAATAAATAAACTAAGCAACTATTGACCCTAGACTTATAAGGTTGATCCAATCACTCAATCCACTTATGGGTATACTTCCCATATGTTTTTCCAGTTGTATATCCTGGGAAACCTTAGCAGTTATGTTCTAAAAAAACAATCTTAAAATCTCTGTACAAGTGAAACCATTCATAATTATGTAATAAAATTCATATATTCCAATTCTTCATATTCCAAAGCACTTATCAATAAAGTTTCAAGGTTCACTCACTATTCTTGATAGAGATAGTCAAAGATATGTTTGATTTTTCACTGGTTGCCATGGGTGAGCCGCATCCCCGTCGTGAGCCGTTTCCGCATAAATCACGTTACCCCTTAAACCCACTCGCCTTTCGGGCACCAGCTGTGGGCGGTCCTTCGGGTATTCGTTGACTCCTATCTCTCTCGGTAGATGCAATCGACATTCTTTGGTGGGTTACTGGCACAGGGGGTCAGTCAGTTGTCAGTGGCTTGCCTAGTCAATACTGCCGAGGATCACTAAGAAAGAAGAAGAAGATAAAGACAAGAGAAATCAAAGAGTTTCATTCTTGGTTCTGCCCATGATCCATCCTATGTTCTCTCTCTCTCCTCTTTGGCCAAAGGGTCCCATCGACCTCCTTTTATAATACAGCTTGCGTAAAGAAAAGAATTCAATCATCTACAGCAATTGGTATGCGTGGAGGATGAAACCGTCCACACATGACAAGTATGAATTTCTTCATAATCTAAGATGAACAACAACGTAGGCTTGACAGTACGGTACAAGTACCCCGCCGCGCCACTCAATCAACGCCCGCGAGGCCTTGTTGTCACAACATCCGCCTAGTCAAACCTCTGGGAAATCATGTCCCCCCGTTGCTTCCTAGGAACGGCCCCATCATTGCACCCACAAACCCCCTTGCGCCAGCGAATCAACAGGGCCCAAACCCAGGTATGTCTCACCGAACGGGGAGCGGAAACGGTCTGACGTTTAACGCCCCGGACTTATCATCATTTGTGATACCGGTAAAGGTACCAGGGATTGTATTTGTGACCAGGCAGAAGCTTAATTTACCGATACCCGTATGCTTTACAATGCAAATGCTAAGTGAGATGATTTATATACCCCTTGGATTTCCTCCTATCCCGTATTCCATTCCGTTTCCATCTTCCCAATGCTGGCCCCGATCCCGTGGCCTTTCCCCACCATGTATGCCACCACCGTTTCGCCACTGTATTAAAAATTGCGCCCTAGGACGAATGAAGGAAAGGCTACCGTGCTGGTAATTGAAAAGGGAAATGACATCAGCACCCGAACCCGCCATATCCCAATCCCCATACGGCCTCCTTTTCCTGATCCTCCAGGACGGTATCCGACGAACAACAGTTCTCGATTTCGTCAACACTAAATCCCCAGAACTCACGAATTCCTTTTCCGAATCGCTTAGTCGCTTCCTCGATCTTCTCGGCTTCGAGCGCCGCGAAACAGAGCCGGAAAAACTCAGCACTGCTGTCCTCCTGGATACCTTTATTCGAGCCAAAGATCCAACCGGGACACGGGAGACAAATGTGTTGCTCAGCACCATACTTCCACAGTTGGGTCATCATTGCCCGCTTAGTGTGACCGCGGGCGAGATACGCAGAGTACGCCGGGTGGGAAGTAATGTGGATATGAACCCATACAAACATCCCGCCCATGGGCTCGTCAAAGGAATACATTCCGACTTTGTCAACGATCACGGAATCTTCGTCCTTGCTCTCGAGGACAACGGTGCTCTCCTTGTATGCATCCAAGACACGGCACATCCTTCTCATGCGGACCTCATATGCGGCACGAAGTCCCTCTAGCCAACTAACCCAGCCGTCCATGCCCCAAATATTTCGCAACAACTGGACAACCATGGCTTGGCCAAATCCAGAAGGGCATTGCGTGGAACTCTCGGTGATTCTGGTCAGGCGCTCGATGAAGGCCGGTTGTGCCGTGATCCACCCTAAACGGCAACCGGGTGCGATTGTCTTTGAGAACGTATCAAGACGGATGACGCGCCCGGAGGTATCAATGGTCACGAAGGATGGTGTCAGGGCTTCGAGGAAAGGATATCGCTTCTTGGCAGAGTTGGTTGGCAGGGTTTGGGCGCCTTTGGGGTGCGAGGATTCGGTAAATTGGAGATACCAGTACGGCTCATCTTCGATAATGATCACATCGTATCTCTCACACAAACAGTATATCTCCTTTCTGCGCTGGTGGGAGAGTGTGGTGCCGGTCGGATTTTGCCCGATTCTATACAAGGGTTAGGGTTAGCCATGACGACACCTCTTGTTCTGGGGAGGGAGAAACCAACGTGACAGTGTACAAGAAGCGAGGCCTTCTACCAAATTTTCTATGGTTCCAATTTTCGAGTACATCCCTAAGGCCTCCTTTTCCTTCGGATAGCATCCCCCCTGCATCCATCTTAACCGGTGCCATTCTTACACCATACGGGTCAGCGGTTTGGACGGCGTTCGGGTAGGTGTGCTCCTCCACAAGCATACTGTCGCCCCTTTCAGCAATCATTTGCATCACCTTACCAAGGCCGTCGGTGCTGCCACATGTCAAAAGTATCCCCGGATCCTCATATGGGATCCTTCCGCCATGCAAATGATTAATAGAAAAGTCTTTGACAAATTCAACCAATGGAGCGAAGCCGGAAGCCGTGCCATATTGTAGTGTTGTAGCGACATCGATGCTGGCTCCGAGAGGGCCTCCAGGCTTGAATTTCGGAACGATCAGATGCGATGAACTTGTGCCGGGGGTCCCTGAAGCTTTGCTCGGCTTTGGGATAGCAGCCGGTGATGCTGGGGACGATTTGAAGAAGGAAAACAAGTAGGATGGCTTTTTAGGAGGAAGAGGTGGAGGGGTGGTGAGTACGGGAACCGGTTTGCTTAGTTGTTCTACAATGTTCGGGGGAAAACGGCCCGAAGTCGAGACAGCGGATTCCAGTGTGTCGTATGGAAAGTATCCGGGGCATGGAAGACCTTTATCAATTGCGATCAGCAAACCGGAATAACAATACCTCCGCTTTTTATCTTTTCCTTCTTCCTTTCTCCCGCAAATAGTGAACGGGGAGCCACTTACCACCGGCTAAGTTCATCATTCCCGGGACCTGGAAATATTTATACAAGCCCTTGATCATGCTTGCAGTTCGCTCACGAGTAACACGATTAAAGTGGTGAGACAGGTCCGACGGTTTCGTGTGTTCCCCATTGGACTCTAAGTTGCCAAACGGAACGTCCGCTGGTTCGGCAGTGGCCATTGCGAAGGGTCGAGGATGTGCCATCTCCTGTATTGGGGCGAGTGCGAGGGGACGAATGGGCAACAAGGGATGAGGATGCTGGAGGCGATGAGGGTGGAGAGGGGGAGGAGGGAAAGAAGCTGACGGCGGTGAATAAAATAGAACTGCCCACCCCCTGGCGACGCAAGGCTGTTTGATATCTGCTGCCCAGCAAACAGGCTCTTTGGTGGGCCGTCGGTACCATCTATCACACCTAGCCCATGCTGAACCTCTAGCTTTCATCCATGGACCAATAAACCTTCCTCTCCCACCGATATAATATGATAAATTAAAACACTTTACCTTGACAGCGCTCCATTGCACCCACTTAGTTTGGGAGGAGAGGGGAATGGGGCCGGATGTGACATCTTCTCGACCCTTCTTATTCTTACTGCGCCTTTCACCTACTAGATTTGTTGTCGCTGCGAGGGTTATGCGCACTACACATCACTAAAGTACCCGTAGTCGCTTGGGGGTGGCTCGCATGTCCGGTCTGCCGGTGTGGACCCCACAAAAGAAAGGTGAAAGCGTGCCGCCTTCCTGGCTCGCGGAATTTGTAATCTGTCGTAAGCCAATCATCCGCTTCCACTCCGCACACCTGAGAGTTTTGGGAGTGCTTTGGGGCTACCAGGATTTGGCGCCGGAGTTCCTCGGGCCCCCCACAACTGATTGGGACGGGCGAAACAGCGGGGGATCGATTGCATGGAAGCGGCGGCCAGCGATTGGGCCCCCCGTACCCACAACCACGAGACAACGAATACCGATAACGAGTCCCTTTCGATAGCCTGCAGCCTGTGGGGGAAAAAAACAAAAGATAAAAGAGTGTACTCGAGTACGGTGCTTGCAAGGTTCCTCACTCTGCAAACCACTCGTTCACTCGCCTGCTCTCGCTTCTTCTGGATGTTGGTCCCACGTTGCATCGCGTTTGGGGCGGTTGTCTAGCGCTTAGAAAACGGAGCCTACCGCTGCGCAGTACAAGTACCTGTATGGATATCGGGCCTCAACCCCTCGCTCCCTTCCGTGGAGAAGGCTGCGCTCACCAGTCGTTCACTACGACGGATGGGATGCTCACCCCATTTTCCAACCTTTCCCCTGGGAGAATCCCCAAATCTTGAGGGTATCCGAATACTTGAGTGCTGTACCGTCCCTGAGAAAGTCGTCCGGCGATACCGCCGCCCACCAAATCTGCCGCTGTGCTGGCACACATCGAGCTAAGGTAAGGCTGGTCCCGATTGAAACCCCCGTCCAAATCCGGTGTAAGTTATCCGAGAAGCCCAAATCTTGACGGCATCGGTTATACCCCCTATCAAGTACGGGTTTGTTCGCGCACTCTGAGGAGGGGAGGCATTCTGCAAGCGTAATTTGGCCCTATCAACATACTCGGTATGGATGATCGGGGGTCTGAATGCCGCTGCCTTGGCCTAACCCTTATTGGAGAAACCTATTTATCGCACGACTTGTGCACAGTGCGTCACTCGAGAACCCACACGCATTGCATTAGCAGGGGTGGATTTCAGACCGAAAACGCATAATGTGGGGGTACATCCCTGGGAACGATTGATATTGTACGGTCGCGTTATTGGCTCGCTTGCACCCTCGTTGTTAGGGCAACTGTTCCGTGCTGTGGGCGCCGGGTGGGCACAAGGGTATGGGACCATGGACGGACAGGGATTCTTTTCGCCGGTCAGCTTACGGTGGAATAGCTGTTCCAGAACTTCGTGTCACACCGTGTTTGCGTGCTGAACATGTTCCGCCCGTTTCTGGGGAACACGAGAAGTGCAAGTGCCGGAATCTGGAGTCCGAATCGGGGATGGCGGTTATGGCGAGCCCCGGGATCACATCCCCGTGTGTGTACGGTACAAGTGAAAGTCGGGTGCGAATGCACAAGCATCCGACAGCTTATTGGCGGACGACTGATATCATACTTGACTCCAGAACTTGGACTAGTACCGGTACGGTTACTTATAGTGCTTTTTCTTAAAAGAAATCACTCGGAGGCACCCTGCAACAGACATCCCAAGCGGAAGTCAGGGGGCGGGGGAAATCCTCCGGGCCCGAAAGCTAGAAATGGGGGGCGACTGGCTATTTCCACAGAAGCGGACATTAGTACCGGTGAGTAACGGCGATTCAACCCGGTAGGAAAGGTCCGAGGCCGTGGGCAGATCGAAGGTACTCGAGTACAGTACTCGTACTGTGCTCGGGTACAGGTGTTTCGGTAGAGGCGTACCTGTATTACTTGACGCAATAAACCTGCTGTCAAAGGCGCGCGGTGCGTGGTATACCAGTAGAGCGTGGAGGTATGCATTATACAGTCTTTTCATTCCTTGCCCCCGATTCGGACTGGAGCGCTCCGATTCGCCAAGATGTCGCACGCTTCCTTGTACGCCGAGAACTACACCTATTACAAGTAGCAGGCGCGGAAAAGAAAGAGCCCTTTAGATAGCTATTCTCGGATACGCCACTGTACATACACCAGACTTTCTTATCAGAATTTGTTCCACTGAATACCAGGTAATAAGAAACCGGGTTGAGTCACCGTTTCCAGGGGCTGTCGGAACTTAGAAGTGTGAGGACTTTGCTAACGCGGATGCACGAGAGCTGTAATAGTACTCGAATACGGTGCTTCTAGGTGCTTTCCTTATTCGGTGACTGTGCCTGGGCAGAAAGATTGTGAGTAGGATTATGTTCTGGAATGGGTTTCAGGAACGGTCGGGATTATGGGTGAAATGCTGATTGGTCCACCCCAAAATTTACCCGACCCGCAATGAAACAAAAATCGGGTTTCCCGAGCGTCCCTTCGTCTGTTCCCGAGTTTCACTCACTTTTAGTGATTTTAGTGAGTGCAGGGGTGCGGAAAAGCGATCCTCTGATGGCTGTTTGGGAGAGATGGTTGCAACCATTATCTCCTGGACTGCTGAAATTCAGGAATTATCACCACCCCTCTTGTCAGCTAAGACGGTGCAAGCTTTGGGTTACTACTGTAGTTCTCATTTGTTCTCTGCGTACCTGTAATAACAGGTATCCTGAAGTGTGTACACCTGCGAATTTCTAGTGACCAACACCAGCATTTCTTACTAATGGCGATAGTGGTGGCATGAAATTTTTAAGTTTCGTGCTGAAGTTAGCGTTGGGCTTGAAAGCTGTTGGATTAGTGTTCCCCGCATACCTCGATCCAGATATATTTCATCTTTCTACTGTTTTATCCCTTATCCCCCTGCAGCTGAAAGTTTCTTTCTTGTTTCCTTTAGGTTTCCTTCTCGTTTCATTTGTTTCATTGAGAGAAAATTTTCTTCACCCTTGATAGAGGTGAAAACTTTTCACCCACATAGGCACGGCATAGGAAGAGGCAAGTCTTATAAAAAGGAGCCGGTGAGCTAGTTAGAAATGCCATGCGAACATTTTGAACCCTCTTTTATTCTGTCTAAGTGAATTGCCTATCTCAAACCGATTGATTTATCTACAACCAAAATCTTCATACCCAAATTTCTCCTATTTCTCTACCTGTTTTCTTCAAAAGCAGACGAAGGGATATGTATGGATAGTACTTTCCACACACGCCGGGTGATAGGAAGGCTGAAGTTTGCTCACCTATTAGCGCCCAATCAGTCAACCCGGATGGGAAATTATCAGGCTAGACACGACCCGAGCCCGGTTGGTGTTTGGCCAACCGCACAAACCCTAACTTGGGCTGATCCACCGTACTGGTACCCATTTGGTCCGCATCCTGAACAAGATGGATAGAGGATAGAGTTTTATATTAGATTGGGTTGTAGACGCGATCAGAGGTTATTATTCAACAACAATGCTTCTGCACGAGCAGAGTTTCGAGTACCCATGAGGTCTGATTCGTGAGAGCGATTGTAACGAGGGCTAGACGTGCCCCGAATTCCTGGTGCTACTGGGCTTTATATCATGGAACACTGCTAAGTTAAGCTGGATAACCCACACTGGTAATTTTTCATTAATAATCTAAATGGGTTGAGGTCTGAAGAGGAAGAATTAAAAGAAATAGGTGTTTCTAATATGCTAGATAGGCGGGGGAGGATTGATGTGGAATTGGGCCAGTTGTCATAAATTTATATGCTTCGGTAAGAATCCAAACATGTAGCTGCCGAGGTCAAATGTTTCTAAAGCTTTGAAGGCACAGTGTCACATGAAATTTCTTGAATTAGACAATCTTCTGGTACCATTCCGCTCCATGTAAATAGGTGAGATACGGTAGTTGGAAAAGAGAATATCCTCTCGGCCAGGTGGGGGATCATTGCCGTGCCGGGGGAGCAGGGGCTTATGGCAGTCTCACGCTTCGGCTTCATTGAATCTTGCCTTGAGTACATGGGTTACTTGTAAGCCCACCTTGTGCACTAGCGCTAGGCTACTGTTATGCTGAGCGGTGATAGGTATGAGAGACAAATTGTGTCTCAAGAAAAAAAAACGGGGGGCATAAACCATTCTCGTGTGGGTTAGCCTTAGTGTTCCCCGTGAGCCTGTTCGAGTCGAGCCCGGTCACTGGCTCGAGCTGGCTCGGCTTGATAGGGAATGGACTCGAGCCACTGGAGATTTAATGCAGGGCTCGAGCTTGGTTTGTTAGTTGTCACGGAGCATCACTCGTTAAAACGACCTACAAGGGGCCCCCGTATAGTGTACCTAAGTAGTGGATATGTTACAAATATTAAGTGTGTGAAAAAAAACTCAAAAATTTCCTACCAACATATCAGTTATCCACTTAGTCAGCCTGTAGTTTGTGTAAATCCATTGAGGACTGTTTGTTTATGGAAAATCTAATTGACTTGCTCTACTTAGGATTCCTTATTATCCTCTAACATATCCCATAATCAGCCTCTCATGGGTCCTGGCAAATTTTAGAGTAAAGTGCGCCCATACTGGGCTCCCCGCTCTGAGTTAGGCTAATAAAAATATGTGCAAACAGTTTTTGGGGTATCGGAAAATATAAAATTATTAAATTTCTTTCTTTCTCCCTGCCTAGTAGGACCTTCATGACATAGACAAGGTAATATTAGATATACTAGTCTCTTTTCCTCTTTCCCATGCCGATTTGCAATAAAAAATAAATCGTTTAAATAAGCTTACAATTAGCTCAAGTACAACTCCAGCCAAAGTTTAGTTGAGCTCAAGTTGGCTTGGCTCTGAGCATATCTCTACTCGTAAAGCTTGAGTCAAAAGCTCGAGCCGAACCTTCGAGCCTCTCAGCTCGTAGGGAACACTAGTTAGCCTGTTCATAGCCAGAGTGATCAAACTACTCAACAAACAGGGGTTCAGCATACATCAAGCCTCTAGAACAACCGATATCAGCAAGAGCAAACTGGAGGGGGGGGAA